TGTCAGTGTTTTCTAGAAAATCAAAATTACCCCTGGTTTCTTAGAAGGCTATTGAAGGAAAGCCAAATAAAACACTATTATTTAAATTAGGCTGCATAAAACAGAAACAAATGAACTGATGTTCATCAAACCTTATTGAACCAGATAGATCCATTGAGATCACTCTTTTAAATCAGTGACACCAGCAAAGGCAGCAACACACATCATGGTGGGGGAAAAAGACAACAATTAAAACAAAAACATTAGAAACATTAGAGTGATTCCTTTGATGTTTAAAGTTGAATCTCAAGAGTTAGCATTTTAAAGCAGTTAAAGGGAGGTGATGTTTCCAAGAAAGATAATTAAATAAGTTAGCAGGTTCTTCTCATCGCATTTCCTTTAAAAGAGTCAGTCCCAACAATCAAGGCTTGTGCTTGGGCCTAAGAAGCTTAATACACTGCTTGCTTTGTCAAAACAATGATTTTCTTTTCTTTCTAAGTTGTTCTACTTGTCTGCTTTAAATTAAGGTCAGCTGTAGCTATCTTTGAGGTTTTATTTAGGATCTGGCTGATCATTATACTTTGTAAAAGTCCCCACTTCCCCCATGTAAAAAAGCTGTTTTTGTATAATTAGACTGCTGGAGTGTCAGCACTCTATGATCAAAGCTGGATTATCCTCAATGGGACTTTGCTCTGTGCATGCATCTTTCACCGGTGCTAAAAAGACAACCACTGCTCTCTTAGATGTTGTGAAGCGGCTAAATGTCAAAGGTAGGGTGAAAAAAAGATGGAGATAGTAGATATTAAATAAGGTTCTCCTGGGATCTATATGAAGAGATTTAAATGTGAATCTGAGTGGTGAGCTGCTTACTGCAGCATGGCGGTTTGGTCAGAGTGGAGAAATATGGCGTGGACAGCTCACAGTGAAGGAGAAATGAAAAATCACCCAGCATGACCAGAGCCTCTGGCCACTAGCCATCTGACAGCTCCCAACCAAACGTGCAACCATGTGCTGGGAAGGCAGCTTTGCTTGGATGCAAGGGATAGCCTGTGTGCATGATGTAGTGATGAGTGTCACAATTAGGAGAACCTACAGCATGCACGACATCTTCTCACCCCCTATTAAAACCGTTTATTTTTTTACACACTGGGAAATACAACTACCCTGAAAGTGTTTGGGGATTTTTCAAAAGAAAGAAATGCAGTTTTGCTTTCTTTTCACTCGCAGCTCTTTTCCTCTGAGAATGTGTGTTTTCCCCTTGAGCCACAGACAGTTTTTCAGAGCTCTTTTGTATTCTGTGGTAGTAGTTATGCCCTCCCTGACTGAGGGAGGGAGGGGGATCAGGCTGAGCAGGTGGACAGCCACATCCTGTATTATGAGGAGATGGCAGGAGGCTGTGGCTGGTGTACCCTGGTGTGTTAGGAAATATTTCACATCAAATGTTTTCTTTTCTTCCCTTGAGAGTAATTAGCATGAACTTACCGCCGGTAATAACTCAAATGATGGGTGTGTGATCCTGTTTGCTGCTGTGTGTCTGCTGTTGCACGGTGCATAATCGCAGCAGTTCCTCTTGTGTAATTATATTAAGTTTTAAAAAAAAACAACCTTTCAAATATTTGTTCAAACATTAAAAGGAATCTAAAAATGGCTGCATAATTTCAGCTCTATAAAAGACAAGTATTTGGTCTGTTTATTTTGTGAATTTCTACCTATTATGCATGATTTGATGATAGTATATTGAATAATCCTGAGTTGTTAAATATACTGGATGCATCTTTTATTTAGTATTTACACATATTCTGGGCTTATAACTTTTTTTTGCTCATAAAAACCAAAACCCTCTAAGTATTTTACAGTACTGCAATGTGACAGAGACAAACTTAAATGTGAACCAGAAGGAAAATGATACATGGTTTGATTTCTTTTTCTCGTTTGTATTCTACAACTTTAGGTGATAAAACGGCAAAACAACCTTAAGCTTCAATTCCAGCTTCTCGTATTTAGGTTAAACCTTCTGCAAAGATGGACATATTTTCCTGTTTGTATTTGTAAAATACTAAAGCTCAGCCTGATTCAGGCAGCAACTTTAAATATAAATTTTTAAGCTGCAGTGTGTGAGCTGGATTCACCCTGTACTTTGAGTGGAGCGTATTAACATATGAATATTCTTCCATCTAAACCAGTCCATTGTAGGTCTATTTGAACCTCCGCCCCAGTCTCAACTCTCTTTGCTCTAGCAGAGAAGGAGCTTTCTTTCAGGCTTGTTCTGTATTTAATTCTATTCTAACGTCCATAAAGTCTGAGCAGCTTTCCTGCCTCAGCCATAATAATGCCACCACCATGCCGTGTTCATGGTGATGTGCAGCATTAGTTTATAGTCTCGAGTAGATAAAAAGGTTTAAATTAGTTTTTCTTTTAACAGATTGATATCACTGAGCTGTGTTTGTCTACTGCTCCTCCAGAGTAACCATGGGTCTTTTAGCTAATTCTCTGGTTAATCCTCTGCCATCTTTTGGAAGTTCTGCAAAGAGTGAAAAAGAAAAACCGAAAATGAGAAAATATTTTTAAGTGGCATAGATATCAACTTTAGTTAAAAGGAAAACACTACGACTACTGAAAGTGCCATCCATCCATTATCTGACATGCTTGTCCCAATTGGGGTTGCGAGGAGTGCTGGTGCCTATCTCCAGCTGTCTATGGGTGAGAGGCGGGGTACACCCTGGACAGGTCGCAAGTTCATCAGGGGCAACACAGAGACAAACAAGACATACAACCATTCACACACACACCCACACCTAAGGAGAATTTAGAGAAGCCAATTAACCTAACAGTCATGTTTTTGGACTGTGGGAGGAAGCCAGAGTACCCGGAGAGAACCCACGCATGCTCAGGGAGAACATGCAAACTCCATGCAGAAAGACCCCGGGCCGGAAATCGAAACCCAGAACCTTCTTGCTGCAAGGCAGCAATGCTACCCACTGCGCCACTTAGCATCCCAGACAACTGAAAGTGTATTGAGGTAAACCAAATAAAACATACTAAAATTATAGAGGTATTTACCCTTGGTTTTGCAAACCAGTGTTAGATGTTTGTTGCTATTTTTTAACAGGACTCTGTTAAGGTGAGCTCTAACTGAACCCTTTTTTTTAAAATGGTATTTTAAGTTTAGTTTTTCTTACGTATATACGGAAATTCTTTAGAATCATGTCCCTAAAAATTAACCAAAGTACAAAGCAATAAAACAATGAATCAATTCAATTCAGTTTATATTTATAGCACCAATTCACAACACATGTCATCTCAAGGCACTTTAGATTGGTTCAAAGATTTCTATCTAAGGAAAACCAGCTGATTACATGGACTCATTGACTTTACAGGAGTTGGTCCTCCTAGATAAACATGTTAAAACAGTAGATATTTGCCAATATTGTGTCTTTACTCTACAGCAATTCCTCAACTGACCATGCATGCAGCAACAGTGGAGAGAAAAAAACTCCCTTTTAAGAAGGTGAACCTCCAGCAGCACCAGGCTCAGTGTTAAAGTAACATCAAACATTATTAAAATGATAGTAACTAACAAAACTAGCAAACCAATTCATAAAGTGAATGAAAATGAACCAAATCAATGCTATAGTTAAATAAACAAAGTTAGAATGAAAAATCCAAAACGATTTTAATGTCATGGAAGCTAAAACTGGCAGGTTGAACCCGGTCCAAAAATAAATGTGGTTTTGATTAACATCAAATAAACATTTTCATTTTTTTAAATTTATTTACTAAAACTACAATAAATGAACAGAGTAGTTTCCAAAGTTTTTTTAGGTTGATTGTTTTTTTATTTGAATCTATTATAAGTAACTATAAAATGTTTGCCACAGGCCAAAGACAGTGCATGGGCAACACTTTGGAAAACCTCCTCAGAGGCTGCATTTTTTCTGAAATTAAATTATCTATACCTACTTTGAAAATACATGTTTTCTGATGGAGAGTGATTGCATAGGATTTCATTCGGGGCTCTCACAGCAGGTATAGGCTCCATAAAAATGCCTGCCACACCTTTTAATGAAACAAACTGAACTATTTGGTTGCAAAGTGAGAAAAGTGGAAGAATCTTAAAGGGGGAAATATACTTTTGCTAAGTGTGGTATGAAATTTTCACACACACTGATTTAAACAAATTAGTTTTGAGAAAGCAAACAGGATGAAATGTGCAGCTTTAATACCATCATTTTGCATCATGTAGATTTAAAATGAGGTTCAATATGTTGTGATTGTCTCACAGTTCATGCTGCCCAGCCCACGCTGAGAGCCCACAGCTTACCGACTTTGGCTAGCAAACACATGTCGTAGTAAGCAACAGACTACAGATCAATAACCTCTCCGGAAAGCTCTTTCATTCACCAATGCAGCGCAACTTGCTCACAGACACAAACACCATTTTTCCACCCTGGGAGAAATCAGAACCCAGTCTACCGACTGCAGGGTGGAGAGGAGGAGCCTGATGATGAAGAGCAGGAGGAGGATGAAGGACACGGAGAAGATGATTGTGCCACCAGAGCCAGGAAGATTGTAACACCTTAGCAACAAATAAGCCAAGCCTCCCACTGAGGAGGAGCCACGTAGAGCCAAAGGAAGAATAATACACACACTTATTCACACAAACGCAGAGAGGCAACTGAAGACATATGAAGGATGGTGATAAAACATTGTTGGCAACACAAAGAAAATAAAAACACACACTTTGTTTTTTTCCTCCAAAAAACCCTACACATGGTTTCCTGTTTCTTTCTGTCATTCTCGTTTAACCTTGCCTGCTTTCCTCTCCCTGTCACTGATGCTTCCTCCCGTTGTGTCCCCTCATTTAGCAGCTTTTCCAGCCTCTCTCTATGTGTGTGTGAGTGGATGTGTGCACTGCTGTTTTACCACCAGCCGTTACCCGCCACGTCCCCCCTCCTCCCTGGCAGGCAGGAGGAAGACAGAAGGGAGGGGATGGAGATAGGATGAGCAATAAAAAACGGGGATGGTCTGAGGGAAGCAAGAGAAACAGAGAGATAGGGAGAGAAAATAAAAGTGGGGAAGCAAAGAGAAGCAGGCTCCTTCTGCATTGTATGGATTCCATATTGGCTCAAGGAGGGGCTTGATGAGGGAGGGGCACTGGAGACTCCTGGTGAAATACAGAGAGAGTGAGGGAGAGGAGACAGGAGGAGGGTGGGTGTGTGATGTGCGGAGGATCCACTGAACCTGAGTGACGGCGCTTTGGTTGGAGGGCTTTGGAGAGGTGACTCGTCTCAGTGCTTCCTCTGTGTTGCCATGCTTAGCAGAGATGCCTGATGCGCTTGGAGGACAGAGGTGCCCCAGGAGTCAGAGACAGGGGCGTGATGGACATTTCCTCATATCCACCCGGGCTCCTGCTTGCTTCTCCTCCTGATCCCCTCCAGCCCTCCTCATCAGCGAGGCTGTGCTCTCTGAACGGATGGTGCCGTCCATACGCATGTGAGGCTCTCCCTTGATTTTGGCTTGACTGCATTATGGTTTTGGGTTCCCATGCCATGCTGCTAATGAATTTTCACCTGCCCATTAAAGAGCAGCTCTTCCTCTCATTCTTGATGACGTAATCTTCAGGGCACTTCTTATTCTAATCTGAATCAAGGTTTTTTTTTTGTTTGCTGCAATTGAATGGACTCAAAAGGATGGACTGATCAGCACTCAAGTATGGGATGCAGAAAATGAAAACGAGGCTGAGTAGAGAACTGCCATCAAGAGGGATTTGTCGGACGTGATAATGAAGATGTGTGCCTGAGAAGCGGTTTGCATCTGCAGTGATAGCTTTAAATTAGCTGTTTCCAGGAACAAAAGAGCTGCTTGGGCTGTGCTGCCAGAGAGAGGATAGAGTTTCATTCAAACATCGAAGAAAGATGAAGCTTAGCTAAAAAATCTGGAGCTAAAATAATAAAAAAAAACTTTGAAGCAGGAATTTTGGGGAATGGATGAAACTGCTGTTGAGTCTTCCAAGGAGAAACTTTCTCTTCCTCAATGTAAGTTTTTTTTGTCTCTGTTGTGCTTTGGGAATCCTCCATACCTCAACAAATTGGCAAACTCCTTCATGCTCTTCTGTCTAGTTTCATTCATTTTCTTGGAATCTACTGAAGCCTGACCACATGAGTGGAGGAGGCACCCTGCAGCAGCGCACCACCTACCTCATCTCCCTCACCTTGGTTAAGGTAGAGGCTGTAGAGGAGAATGGAGGGGAGGCCAAGAAGAGCACCCAGGAAAAGGAGGTGGAAGCCAGCCGGGAGAGAAGCTCTGGGGAAGAGGTCGAGTCTGAAGCTGAAGTTTCAGTACCAGCTGAGAATGGAGCAAGTGTGGTTGAAGGGGAACCACAAAGAAATCAGGAGACTAAGATTGATGAATCTAAGGGTAAAGAGAGAAAGCCTCTCAGTCCTCGGAGAGATGTCATAGATGCTGCAGGTAAAGCTCCAGAAAAACCGCCACGATCCACGAACCTCTCGATCCCCTTACCTGCTGAGAGAGGGACAATTCAGCAAACAAAATCTGCAGATGCGGTTGATTCAATGCAATGCCGGTCTCCATCACTGAACACCACGCCAACAGAACTGGTTGAACCCTGCCGCACTCCAACCAGGACAAGCCTACCCATCCGTCCAGTAGGACAGCGACCTGTGAGCCTGCTAAAGTCTCACAGCAGCGTGGCCACACGAGGCCGAGACTCCAGGGATGGTCGAGAGCGCAGCCCAACCTCGGCCCAGAGCCTCGATCGCAAGGACTGCCGTGTGACGACACGGTCACCAGGCCCTTGCAGGGCCTCATGGGCTGAGACAAGTAGGCCCGAAGCTTGGAGAGATCTAAGGGACGAGACTGGGATGTCTCTGGACATTGGCGGGGGTGGGACTGCAGTGATGAGAGACATCCCTAGGAAGGATCGACTGAAGACCGGGTCAGCCTCCTTACCTGCCCCTGCTAACCAAGTCCCTAAACCAGCACGCAAAGGTAAAAGCCGCACGCTGGACAACAGCGACTTGAACAGCCTTTCCGAGGACCTGGCTCTGGCCAGGGACTGTCAGCAAGTGCAGCAGGGCCAACGGGGCTCGGCCAAGGACAGAAAAATGCTCAAATTCATCAGTGGCATTTTTACAAAGAGCAGTTCAGGTGCAGCAGGGCCAACATCCACAGCACCCCCTGTCTACATACAGAGAGATTCCAGTGAGGAGGAAGGTAGGAGGTCACGAACGCATCACTGTCACCTGTACAGCTCTGAACCAACCTGTCATCAACCTCTGTTAGGATATCAAACGCAGGGTTTACTGCATTAAATCATCAGAACATCTCATTTCCACTGTGCAGAGGAATCCATTTCAAATGAGTCAGGCTGGAATTGGGTGGGGTTGGTCTTTTTTAAGAACCCGATACAGAACACTCTTACAGGCTGTAATTCTATCACGTGGCTGAGAAACATTTTTCTACGGCCATGTGCCACTGGATCCCGATGATATATGAAACACTCTTTTCTGTGATAATGTGCAAAAGAAAAGAATCGTCTTGAATGGTCTTAATCTAATTCCCTTCAGAGCGGGGGCCGATTTCACACTGCTACAGGGGTAATCAGCCCCCACACACTCACTAACACTGACACCTCAAATAGATGCACCTCAGCAGCTTTCTCCTTGTGTGGGTTTAAATCTCATAAGGGAGGCATACAACAGACAAGCAAGTCTCACTATCAAAGAATATTTACTGGCTCCACATCCAGTTGAGAACGTTTCTAATCCAGTCTTTGATATTCCACCCACTGCACCTTCTGCAGCTGGAGCTTCATTGCTCCCCTCTCTACCTCTTTGTTTCAGTTGGGATTTATTTAAAATATACTGCAGAGGCACACATAGGTTTACAAGTATTTGAAATAGAAAGATTTTAAGATTTATTCATGCAGCTGTAGTGTCCAACAGAGCATGCCTTTTACAGACGTCTTTTTAAGTATTCATTCGCCCATTGTGTATTCACGCAGTATGACATGCACACGAACAAGTAACGAGGCTAGCCCTTCATGCACGCATATATATGCACGCACATGCTCCTGGCAGGAGGAAGTGTTGCCATGGTTACCGTAAGGCCTGCCTTGTGCCGCTGCTGCTACAGATGCAGCGCCTGATGAGACAGAGGGAAATGTAAGCCTGTGTTAGAGTGGATGTAGTGTATTCAAAGAAGTGAACATTTTTTTATCAAAAAAAAAGAAAGAAAAAAACTGAGTTAGGAATCTGAAAGTCAACCACAGGGTACTTTTCTGCTGGATGGCTGAAGTGGAGGTAATTGGCTGTCTTTGGAAATGTGTGCACCATAGCAGCTGAAGGACCTCACTGTCTAATCACTTCTGGCTCCAGCATCAGACCATAAAAAGGGCTTTCAGTCAGAGAGACACAGCGAGACAGAGTATCAATGTGTTAGTGTATCTTTAGGATAAGAAGTGCCCTTTTTTTATGCAAAGAGGAAACATGCAGCAACAGCTCATATGAAATCTCAGTTTCTTTAAATGTATTTATCTGGCATCTCTACAGATTTAGATCCAGCCACAGTTTTAATCATTGTTCGTAGCTGAATCCAAACAAAAAGCACATCAGACCTTGTATGTTTTATTTCTTCTAACCAGATCTCTAGCCTGAAAAAGGTACTTTAGTAATTATTCTAAATCTCTTTATGCTGAAAGCTCCTCAAAGTTAGCAAGACATAATGTAGCTAGTCAAAACTCACCACACTGTGCTTGTATTGAAAAGGTTTTCTATATATTATGCAGAAGGCCTATGTTATTGTTCCTGTCTATTAGTTAACATGGAAGAATGTGGATTCTCTTTGAGATACCAAAACACTGATAGCCAGCAGATCAAGGGTGTCCATCTGCAGTTTGATGAAAGTGTGTTGAATCAGGAAAAATCCATAATCATGCAGGACACTTGAGGACTAACTTTGGACATCACTACCCTAGGTGATGGTTTAAAGAAAAAAAAACTCGGCACAAGAAAAATCATGTCCCTGGCACATATGACCAGTAAATACCCTAAACATAGTTGATGTTTCTCTTTGCATATTTACATTTATGGATAGCTGAAGTAAATAGCTATATTCAATCCATTAAACACATTTTGCAGTTGTGTTTTCACATGTTTTTGCACATGTAGCATAGAGCCAGGGGGTAAATATTGGGGCCTTGTCCAGGATTTGAATCTCATTGCATTCAGCTCAAAACAACTAAATGCCTATTGAAATAAGTCTCTATTATTTTGAAAAAGTTACTCAAGATTTTATCATTTCCAATAGTAACAATGACATGGATTGGTTACTATATTTAGTCCCCGCTTCCTTTGGTTTTCCATCTGTTCCGAGTTGCAGTGAAAACATCTCAGAGGACCATCGGTCACTGATTGGTTTGGTGGTGGTGTCACAAGTTACAGCATATTTGAATAATATCTAAATAATAACTTTGACCATTAAATTGGTTTACATTGGTTATTGTTCATGAGCAATGCCATAAACAATAACACCAACTAAGCATGAGGTAGCATTACCATAGAGTAGCATTAGCTTACATTCATATAAGCCCTGGTTCATATCCTCCCATTTAAAACTGTATGGCTTGTCTCCCTATCCTGTGCATACCCAGAGTGTCTCATCTCGCTGCCCACAGCCTTCTCTAGAAATCCTCTTTTAGTCTGAGTCTGACAAGCGGAGCAACAGACAAGGCTGTTGTTGTGAAGTCTATGCAAATCACGTCACTTTGGACTGCTGGCTGCCTTGGATTTAAAGACCCCGTCTCTACTGACATATGCTCTGCTGTAATGGAAAATGAATCAAACTGATTTCAACTAACCTAAACTGTCTCTACCTGAATAGGTCAGAAAAAATGGGAAAAGGCATTTGCTAGCAGTGGCAAAGTTTAAAAGGTTTTCTAATTTAGATAGCCAGTGAGTATAGGTAATTTTGCAGTTTCAAATGAAAACTAAACTTTGAAGAAAAGTACTGTTGTAAGTTTTTTTTCCGAAGGTCTACATCCAAAAATTCTTATTGTATCATGCAAGTAGATTTTTAAGACACTGCTGAATAAATCTTTTATTTTAAAAACAGAGTTTATATACAGCTTTATACTAGTAAATGGAAATAAATGACCTATGCTGGTAAATACAGATATGTTTAGTAGAGCAAGGACAAAACTAATAAAACTATGCAGAAGTTTTTATGCTAATTTAACCCATCGTCATGTTTGCATAAGCCAGTTATTATATTTTCTGTATTTAGTCTGTAATTCAAAACAGCTTGAAATCTCATGGTAACAAAATGTAATAACTGGTGTTCACTTCCATTTAAAAAGCTCCTGACCTTAAGCAGACTATTTTCAGTCCCTATGTTGATAACATGGGTATGGCACATCCAGGTGCATTCATGCACAACAAAGAGTCAATGGTGAGTTAATTAACTTAACAAAGACAGATGGTAACGGTTTGGCTATGTGGCTGCACAGCAAACACTGCCACTCGTTTCCCTGGTTCTAATCCACACAAAGTTTTTGATCTGTATAGAGATTGCGTGTTCTACTAGTAGATGGGAAGGTTCTCTCCAACTAATCTTTATTTAGCTCAAAGTGGATAAACATGATTATTCTTTCAAGTGATAACACTGAAAATTAGCATCACAATTTTATTTTGGAAAAACAAAAACATTCTGTAAATATTTACTGTAAATTAAAACTAAAGCATAATCCATTTTAAGCTGCTCCTGGCTTAATTAACCCATATCTGCTCACCTTCTTCTTTGTTTTTGCCACAGGTCTTTAGACAGCCATTGGGTAAATTAGAATCTAGCATTTTAAAAACTGTTTTTTTACTTCATTTTAGAGGACAGACTAAACTTAACCAGAGATTTATGTGGTACAAAGTAGAGTGCTCAAGGCAAATCTACATGTGCCGTTTCTTTTATGAAAAACTGGTCGTCATTTGTTCTCAGAGGAAAACGTCATTAACTTTAACACCATATGTATTTAGTTGATTCCTGAAAAACTAATAATAATGACTAACATTATACTTATCAATGTCACATCTGGACAATTCTTTCAACAGTTTTGCACAGAGTTGAAGCATGTTTAGGTGTGTGTAAATAAGCATACTCAAGGTTGGTTTGTAATGCATTTCTTAGTTTTACAACAGTGTGAAGGAATTATAAAAAACAATGATAATGATAAATAAGGTTACTGATTTAGGGGAAGGCACAGGTTTCATAATTTACGAATAAGCCTATTTATTCAGTTCTACTCAGTAATTTGTGAAATTAGATTTCAGTTGTTATGTTGTAGATTAGCAGCGAGCTTTACCGAATGGTGGCAGCAGGATTTAAATATCCGTTCTCATTTTGGGATTGAAAGATATATGCAAACTGGGATTAAAAGCTCAAAGCTAGAATGTGCATTGATAATGATATGGCATTGACTGCATCTAAATCTGCCTTTCTATCTTTTAAAAAACAGAGGGACCTTCCAAGCTTTGCAGATAATTTTTTTTCTGTCAAGAGGAAGTAGATTTCAAACATTTTTATAGTCTGTTTCAGTTCTGCCTGTCTGTCACTTTGCAGTGACTCAGTGTTATTCCTTTCATCAGATGAGATTATAGTTAAAATTACAAGTCAGGCCTCTGTTTTATTTTATTTAAGAGGGGATATTGTGTGAAAATCTGAAACATTTTTGAGAGATCACTAAAGAAATCCATTAAAACCTAAGTACTGCCGCAGCTGCACCCCTTTATAGCAAAAGCTAAACAGTTGAAGAGCAGTTTGGTTGCATCGTACTGGAGTCCTTGCTGTGAAGGAAAGGTTATATTCATTACAGTGACCTGCAGGACCACCCGTGCAACCCATACTGCAGATGTGTGATTTATTCCCCTCTTTCAACAGGCAGTTAAGATGGCTGCCTTACTCTCTGCATATAACCAACATGATGAATCCCTTCTTGTGTCTGCAGTTCGCTGATCGTTTTTCTCTGTCTGTCTTTATAGTAAATATCGCCAACAGTCAGGAGTGGATGCTGAGCCGATCCATCCCGGAGCTGAGACTGGTGAGTGTCCATTACTGCAATGATAGATCACACCTTTAGCTCACAGTTCTTTCATGATGAACTGGTTCTGTGGAGTGAAGCTGCAGAAAAACAACAACAGCAAAAAAGGAACGTTTTTTGTAAGCAGTGTATCAGAACAGTTAACATATTTAAAAAGATGATGTTGGTCTTCTGGTGAGGTGTATGTGTTAGGAGAAGCCAGTTTCTGGGAAAATTTTGTTTTGTAATACCTTAAGAACAAATTCAATGTGTTCTGCTTTCTTATTCTTATCCAAAGTTAGCTTTAATTATCAAGTCTAGCCGCAGCATTTTTAATAAAATGCCTTCCAATTAAAGAAAATAATGCATTCACACCAGTAATTCAAAAAACACAAAACTAAAAAATAATAGATAAAAATTTACTGAATTATAATTTTGTAATAAAAAATATTGTTTGTGTGGGGTGTGTTGCACAGGTTAGCAACATGAATATAGAGAAAAATAGATCTCATATTCCTACATTTTTACAGTGTGGTTCAAAAGACATGAAAAGAAAACTTCCTGCGATAAAATAATTTATTTATTTTTTACAATACACACACATACATACAGGTGAAGCTGCTAAAGCCTTAAACAGGTTCCTTTCAATGAAATATGGTTTCTCTTAAACAGTTAATATATCTAAGATAAATAATTATAGATTTGCAATGTTTTCTTTTTGCCCCAGAATTTGGGAAGTAACATATTAAGAGATTGTGTCATGGATGATTTTTGTGTATGGACTGTGTGAGATGTTATAAATAATAGGGCTGTAAGTAACGATTATTTTCCAAATCGATTCATCAGTCGATTATTTTTTCGATTAATAACTGAAAAGCCAAAGGTTCCTTACAGGAGATTTTTTGCCAAATAAACCAGGTGAAACTAAAAATCTTCCACTTGAGGAGTTCTCGATAGAGGATATTGACAGATGAAAAAACCTTTTGTATCTCAAATCCAAAATGTTAGCATATTTTTTGGTAATTTTGGTATAATTACTGCTGTAGTATGTGACTCTGTCAACTAAAAGCATGTTTTAGAGGCTCTACACTCCAGTTAACGATTAATCGATTTCTAAATTAGATAACGATTGTTTCAATAATCGATTAATCACAAAGAATCCGATTAATTGTTTCAGCCCTAATTAATAATCTGTGCTGTTTTGATGGCAACCAGGGGATTGTTGTAGACCTAGATTTCCTGAATGAAAAATGATAGTTACATATAAAACTCCAAGCAACCTCACTTTTGAACTGAAAGTTACTCAGTTAGACTTCCTTTGAATCTTAACATTCATTTAAATACTGTGTTGCTCCTGCAAGTGATTTGAGGAGACAACGTATCCTGCTGTAAATCTTACACATACAAACATTAGCTGAAAACCCTGAAAAAGGTGTACAAAAAAAATACTTAAACCAGTCGTTCTGTAAGGTAGTGCAAAAGTATAATCCTTAAGTGAAGGAAAAAATCTGAATACATTTTACACCGCCATAAATGTTGAACCTGCAGTTTATACATCCTATTTTGCAAGTAGAAGAGGACTTAGTCTTCTATCTCTTATCTCTTAACATTAGAACTGTCCAAATCTTTCGCCAAATAAGTAAAATTGTGAGGCTGAAAGCTTATAGACAAAGGTTTGATTCTTTTCATCTTAAAACTTTGAAATGTCTACAGTACATCTTAAATTCCTTATAAACAGATCAAAAATACAACATTTCCATAAAATGATAATTTCATAAAATTATGAATTATTCAAAAAGTTAGTTGCATATTTGACATCCTGTCGAAAACATGTAGGTCAATCTATGCTTAGTGGCTCTTAAAACATTAACTCCAGCCTCAGTAAACACCTTGTGAAGCTTTCCTAAATCCTTGGTTGAATTTTGCTTGACAATCCTCTTAGGACTGTGGTCACCCATCACTGTTGCTGGTGCACTCTTTACTGCCACCAGTTGGAACAAAGATCTTTTGTAGCTTACCCTCCTTGTTGGGGGCTGTGTATGATTATTGTCTGAATACTGACACACACTGGGAAATAATTTAGAGGCTTAGGAAATCTTTACAGGCATTTGTGTAATGACTCAGAACATAAGGGACCCAGTATTTAGGCAAGACAGACAGTGGGATAACTTCAAAAGCATTTATTTAAAACTGGATCTGCGAATCTGCAGTAGCAGCGGCTAGGGCGTCCAAAGCAGGAACCTCTACATGAGAGAAACACAGGTTAGTGACCACGATAATCTGACGAAAGATGATCATGAACGCGTGAGTCACTAACCTGGTTTTACAGTTCAGGCTTTTGCCTAGAGAACATGGTAGGATTGAGCTGGTCAGCTGACAAGATGCAGCGCACACCGCCAGAGAGTTCCACGCACTGAAGCCTTGAAGGCTGCAGAAATGGCAGGGGGACAGATCCAAGCAGATGACGGAAGGCAGGATAATCCAGGTCAAAGTCAGAAGGCAGATCAAGGTTCAGTCCACAAGAAGAATCCGGCAGATGTCCGAAGACAGGTCAGGCAAACAGATAAGAACAGGGACAGCCAGGCTCAAAGGTCCGAATAAAGAAACAGGTCAGGTCAGGTAAACAGAACACAATGAGTTATGCCAAAAAAAAGTCTCACAAAAAGCCAAAGAATAATCTGGCACTGATGGCTGGGACCAAGCAGCTTAAATAGAGTTAGGAGCAGGTGGATAAGATGAGCAGTAATGAGACACCAGCGCCAAGATCGTGACAGTTTTCCATTAATTAGGTGATTAGGGTGTGAAACCAAGAGTTTCCAATATTTTTCAAACCACTTTTTTGTGAATATTTTAATTTGCGGATCTGATCCAGCACACCTGGATCAGAATCTATGAACATCAGTAATATAAAATGTTTAATGTTAGACCGCTATGAGAGCAGGTAATATGCCTGCAATAGAAGACATTGGTCACACAATTGTGTCATCTGCACATCTTATGTGAATGACATAAAGCAGCAAAACACAGATTTACTAAGACACTAAAATAAATGTGGGAAAGGAAGTGGAAGTGTCAATCAAATGTTTTAATTAAATCTAGTTCGGTTTAACATGATCCCATCACTAAAACAGTGGAACTTGTTCTTGTTGTGTTTCCTTCCCTTTTCTGTCTCAGGGTATTCTAGGCAGCCTGAAAAGTGGAAAGTCGGCCCTGGTGAACAAATACATCACAGGCAGTTATGCTGCTATTGAGAAGCCTGATGGTAATTATTTTTTCCATTCTTTTCAGTGTATTTAGAAAAGCATAAAGGAGTTATCTGATTGGCCGTTATATTCCTCTCCTCAGAGATGTGTTGTGTTCTTTGTTGAGGATGACATGCGATCATGTCAACATCCCCTATCTGTCACGCTGTTGAATAACCTGTCTGTCACTTTCATTGTTCCTGTCAGGGGGAAGGTATAAAAAGGAAGTTCTGGTGGACGGTCAGAGTCATCTGTTACTGATCCGGGAGGAAGCTGGAGCTCCTGATGCACAGGTGCTCCTTTGTTTGCCGTTTTTTTCACCTTTAACTGTTTGTTAGGAGTTAACGTCTCCCCTGGCTTTGCTCCTTCAGTTCTGCAGCTGGGTGGATGCAGTGATCATGGTGTTCAGCTTGGAGAATGAAGCTAGTTTCCAGGAGCTTTACCAGCTCTACAGTCAGCTCAGTGCACACCGCTCTGACATCCCAGTCATTGTTGTTGGAACCCAAGGTACCCCTAAAAAATGTCATATCCTGAAGCTTAACTCAATGTAGCTCAAAACACTACATGCATTTGAGATAAATAACTGCTCCATAGTTAAAACTGACTGCACTGATATCTGTTGTTTAGCTTTAAGAGACAGTTCTTCATTTGGCACAAAGACACCCTCTATCTGCTTAAGGAAGCACTTTGTACAAGAGCTATAATTATAACAAGCTTCCATCTGATGTCAAAGTTGTTTTTTCCTCTCTTTTAAACTAATTACTGTTTGTGTGGAAACACTTAAAGGTGACCTGACACTGCTTTCAGCTACTTTGCTTTTCAGTAAAGTGGAGAAAATGGTTTATTAAGACGGAAAAGACATTTTATCATGAATAACGGTTGAATGGGGTGCAATCCATCCGTCCATAGTGACCTGTTGTTGCTCTACCATAAATGGTAGACTCAGAAGAGTCTGGTTACTTACATAATTCATACATAAATCATAATAATAGTTCTGCTATCATTTAATTTCTGTATAACCATACATGTCTCATTACCTAAGTCCATGTAGAGACAAGCAAAATATGGTGATGAATAAAATATGTTTTATTTTTATCTTTTTATCTTTATTATATTGTATTTTATTTTTATTATATTGTATAGTTGGATGTGTGTATATATCATCTAAAACTGTAACTGGAGCGTGTAACAAAAGTAATTTCCCTCTGTGATTATTAAAGTATTTCTGATTCTGATTCTGATGTTCATGTTAAGCTTGACTGTTAAGTGCCGTTTTGTTTATTTCTGTCCTGTATTTTTTAAAGATAAAATAAGCAGCACCAACCCTCGAGTGATCGAGGATCAGAGAGCCAGGCAGTTGTGCATCGATGTCAAACACTCGCTGTTTTATGAGACCTGTGCCACCTATGGGTTCAACGTCGACAGAGTCTTTTCAGAGGGTGAGTCAATTTATTTTACCAGCACTTTCAGAAAACCTTTAACTGATCGATTAAAAGCAATGAGGAATATTATACAAAAAACCTACATGATGCTCTGAATCGGAGCAGGATGATTTAATCATAGCTCTGTGTGGTTTTCAGCTGCCCAGAAAATCGTAGCCCTGAAGAAACAGGCAGCACTGCTGGCCTGTAAATCTCTGCCCAACTCTCCAAGTCACTCTGGAGGCTCCACACCTGGATCTGCATCACTTCCTGGACAGGTACCACCCCCCCATCAATACAGAGTGGTTTATAACATTATTCTCAATTCATTGCATCTTCCTCACCTTTCTGCTTCAGGCAGAGAATGGCAAGAATGATACCAAAATCACTCTAGGAAGAGTAGGGAGAAGTTATTTAACTTCAACTTTTGAATATTTTCTAACCCTAATGCAAAAATTTAGCACCAAATTAAATACATTTCTTCAGTTAGTAACAAGTAATTAAATGAAAAGTGGTAGCTGTAAGTTAAAATCCTCTTATACTCACACTCTCTTTCAATACTATTTACCAGCCATTCCACAGGTTCGCCAGTTCTAATGCTAACTTTAGCAAATATTTAATTTACCCATCCAAAAACAAATAAATATGTAAATAAAAAAAAAAAAAATCATTTCACCACAATCACCACAATTATAAAAACTATCCATCCAGAAGGAAAGCAGCGACCTCTGTGTGAATAATGAGTCTCTTTGCTTCCTTAAGTCAGCACCAACGCTTCAAAGCTGGGCCAATATTCATCCTCGTTTTGCTTCGTTGTTGTTATTGTCTTTAACCTAAGAATTTTAACGCAGAAAAGCAGTTTCTCGGTTCTACCATGGACCTAATAGGCTCTGGGAACTCACATGACTAAATCCATCTATTCTTATAGGTGCAGAATCTATTTGTGTCAATTATATCTTAACCAGTAAATATTTAGATCATTTGGACCCATCCAAGATTTACAAAACATTTTATATATATATATATATATATATATATACACACACACAATATATATATTCTTGTGTAAAACTTGATCAAAGATCAACTAATACTTATATTCTGCATCATTCTAAATGATCTATAGATGAATTTTGTTTTTGTATGAATCGTTTTAATGAACAAGTTTAAGCTCAGAACTTTAATTTTGTTTCAATAGTTTAAATTGACAACTGTTAAACTAAAACTCTCTTAATCTAGTCACTTTTTACCAATAAAATCAATTTAGGTAGAAGCTAAATTCATTTTTTAAAACTGATTTAATCCAACAGACACAACTTTCTGTTATGATTTCAAGTATTAGGTGTAAAACAGCAAACCAAGGAATCTAGTTCTGTGTTGAAACAGTTATTCGGACCTGAAACTAATAACTTTGGTGTTTCTCATCACTGAAGGGGATTGTAAACCAAATTCTATCTGCAGAATTGTTTTAGTTCAGCCACAAGAACATGCTACAATATCTAATGGGATTCAAATCTGGACTTTGACTAGACCAAGATATATTTTAATTTCAACCGGCTTGTGGCATTTGGATCATTGTCATCCTGCATTACCCAATATGTTCTTGAGTTTTGGGTCACTTCACATCACCTTTTTATAGAGAGCAGAATTTAGGATCCAACCAAAAGCAGCGAAACAGATCCACACTAATGTTTGACTCTAGCTATACGGTTCTTTTTCAGAAATGCTGTTAAGTTCAATGCCAAATGTATAGAAAAGTGAAAATCAACTTAAAAGCCCCACTTTTTAAAACATGTTTAATAAAAAAAAATCCTCCCAGTTTGTTAGGAAGACTTTTGCCTCGTCTCATTCTTATTGTTTTTTTAAATAAAAATCTAAATTAACTGAAGTATAAGACCAGTAATATTGAAGTTGTTTCTTTTTCCTCTCAAGTAAATTCCATTTATTCTGCTGGAGTGCTTTTAGTAGGATTTTAGTAGGATTCAGGAAACAAGAGATTTCTTTAAACCAATCAGGTTTTTGTTAATAACGATGCATTTCCTCACTCTAATCTCAATTGCAAACACAACTTTTTTTTTTTAGCACAGCAACATGCGCTATGAGATCTGTAAGACGTCTTTGTTGCACCGTTTTGGTGAACTTTTATGATAAAGAATTATATGAATGTCATTCACAGTTTTGGTTTTTAAAACAAATATTTTTATTAGAAGGGAAGCAGCAAACTAAAAGTCTGGTTTTACATCTGAGACACGATTTATTACATCCTTCATCACATTCGCCCTCATTCACAGCGATCCCAAACTCATCTTCATTCTCTTCATCTCCTCCCATCTCTATTCCCATCTTGACCTCCTGACCCACACTCCCAACCTGTCCTCTCAGGCCAGTAATGGCCCCAGTAGCAGCTACGCCTGCTCCCTCCCCTCCACCCCTGTGGTGGGTCACAGAGATCTGAGGCCCACTCAGGCGGATGGGGGCGGCAGCTCGCGTCTGAGGACCATCCCCAGGCGGCCCTCCCTGTTTAAGGTCAGTCCCTGCCCTGTTTGGTCTCATGTCATTTCACTTTCATTTTCACTCCATCCTGCTCTCCCGCATCATCTCTGTCGAACTTTAAAAACACTTGTTATTGGTTTTGTTTCAGAACCGGGACACAGATAAAAAATCAGGTGATTCGAAGGGGGACCAGAGCAGCGCGCGGGGTGTTGCTCTAAAACAGGTTTGTGTTTCTCTGTTAAAAGAAAATGCAGAAGTCACAAAAACTGTTATGAACAGGCAACTGCAATAAAAAAAATATATATATCTGACAGTTCCCTTTTCAGATGGCAGAAGGGAACAAAATGGATCTGATTTGATTGTTACCTAAGCATCAGTTTATTGTTTCATCTTTTCTAACCTTTCTCCGGGGTGTTCTATTAATATAGGAGCTCTGAGCTGCAGCGCTTTGAAGGGTCTGCTGTTCTCTCTCTAATTATAGGCAGAATGTCTCCTATAATAAAACTGCAAATGTCTTCTGCTGTTTTCATCAGGGCGTCCTGTTCAAGAGAAGTGGCAACTCTCTGAATAAGGAGTGGAAGAAGAAATACGTCACCCTGTCCAACAATGGCACGCTGTCTTATCACTCCAGCTCCAGTGTAAGAAAAACTGCCATGCACTGATCAATACGGCCGTAAAGCGGAGGCAAAAGCCCTGCAGAGTGCTTACTGGGGAGGGGTTATCTGCAGATTTACAGACGTTATAACACATTAGAGGACAGTTCTCATTTCTGTTTGTCCAGCTCCAGATTTTTCCTCTGCTGCTGCTCTAAAGTGGCTCTTCTCATAAACACTGGAGGGAGAGTCCTTTTTGTCATTCATATAAATAAAACACTTCATACTGATTTTATGGTAAA